GTTCCCTAGCTTGTTGTGCATTCTTTCCAAAAATTGGGACTTTTTAAAAACTCCGCGGGACACAGGACAAATTGTTAAAAATCAGGACTCTCCTGCCAAAAGTGGGACTTCTGGTCACCTTATAGTAGGTCCTTCAGCTAAAAAGTCATGGGTGGGATTTTAGCCCTGGTGTCTTTCTCTCTAAATAGACAGATAAGTATCAATATTTAGATATCGCCATATATCCACATGTCACCTACTATGTGCCAGGCACAGCTCTAGGATCTGGATTTGCAGCAGTTGAACAAAACAGCAGAACTCAGTACTCATGGAGTTTGAGCTCTTGTGGGGGTGGGAGGCAGGAGTGGATTATACAGATGTGTATGCATATAAATGTTGGATAGGGATAAGGGGTATGGAAGAAAATGAAGTGGGAGGAGGATGTGGAGGTGCATAGATTGGGGGTGGGGAGCTCTGCTTCCCTGTTGCTCATCCTCCATGGCCCTGCTCCCCCGGGGAACCAACTCTCCCATGCCCCCCCCAGCTGCTCAAGACAGGGCCAGGCACCAGGCATTGGGCTCTCACTGGCCTCCATCCCTCCCTAGGTTTGATGTCTCTGCTGTTTATCCCAATCAGAAGAAGCTCAGCACCTTCACGGAGGCCCCATACTTCAATCGGTATTCTAGGGCGCTGGTGAGTTTTCACAGCTTCCTGACGCCTGCCATGGGGTCTGACCACTGCCCCTTGGAGTCACCCACCATGGTGGATGAGCTACATAAGGGGCCTACCTTCTACCTCACCGTGGCTGTAGCCCCTGGCATAGAGCTTGGCCCAGTTGGGGATTCCAATGTGTTTGATACAGGCAGCACTGTGGCGTCTCTGGCTCTTGTACTAACTGGCTGTGGGCTCTTGTTATCTTCACAGAAGTGAGAGGGGGCTGGTGATAGATAAATAATGTCGTGATTGTACTTTGAGTGTCAAGCCCTTCCGTGCCAGCTTGGAGCTGGGAATTGGGGACCACATAGGGGGATTGCTCCCGCCCCCAGTTCAGGGTGGCAACTCTGTGAGGACCTGCTCTGTAGTGGAGATGGGGCGGGGGGGGGGTATAGCTGGCACAGCTCTGACCAGACTCCGACTCAGTCCCACATAGGGCCTGGAACCTACAGCTCATCGGATACCTGCTTCAGCAAGAAGAAGCTGAAGAAGGAGATGGGCACAGGCTGGGCCAAGGCCCAGGAGGCCACCCGGCTGACTCAGATGCCCCATTTCCAGTACCAGGCCATCCTGAAGGAGAAGCGGCAGCAGGTGAGGCCTCTGGGGCAGGTCTTCCTGTCACTGCAGCTGCTCCAGTGTGGCCTTCAGTGTCCTCCTGGGACTACACGAAGCTCATTCTTTAAGGAGTACTGTCATCCCGTGGACATTCCCAAGTTTCAAGTTTTTTTTTTTTTTTTTTTTTAAGAGACACACTTTGTCGCCCTCAGTAGAGTGCTGTAGCTTCACAGCTGACAGCTCACAGCAACCTCCAACTCCTGGGCTTAGTAGATTCTCTTGCCTCAGCCTCCTGCGTAGCTGGGGCCACAGGCGCCCACCACAATGCTATTTTTTGTTGCAGTTTGGCCAGGGCTGGGTTTGAACCTGCCACCCTCGGTATATGGGGCCAGCACCCTCCTCACTGATCCACAGGCGCCGCCCCCAAGTTTAAAGTTTTTATCTTGTGCTTTCTTCTCTTGTGGCAGGAGCAAAAACTGGGTCCTGGCTCCTACAACTTCAAAGATTTCTTAGAACTGCTGGAGCAGAAACCATGTAGCACTCGGGGGCTGCTCAGCTCCGGGGAGATTCGCTTTCGAGGAATCATTGGGGTAGGTGTTTTTGTGCACAGAGCAGGATTCCCCTTCACCCCCACCTGCCTTCCCCCTTCTGTCGGTAGAACATTCAGCCTGGGTAGTGCTGGGAGCACCGATCCTTGTACCTGTCTCCTCCCCAGGTTTGGCCAGGCTCTCCTTTGTGTCCCCACAACCCCTCAGTTTTCTGGTGCCACAGCCTTGGGCCCACTGGCAGTTGCATATGTTCTGGCAGGGATGGGTCTGGTTCTACTCTGGGTCCTCAGTAGAGAGCCCAGTAAACGTTATATCCTCAGCAAATTCATCCATGCATATATCCAGCCAGCCAGGAAGTAATGATTAAGCACCTACTAAGTGCCTTGCACTGTCCTAGGCCTTGGGGAGCCATCAGGGATGAAGATGAGGTCCCTGCCCTCATGAAGAGGATGTCCTAGTGGCAGAAAGAATGGTAGAAAGAAGGAAATCTGTGCATAATCCCAGCTGTGAAGACAAATGAGCCAGGGAGGGGACAGACAGTGATAAGGTACAATTTATGGAGTAGTCAGGGAAGGCCTTAGGGAGGAGGTGAGACTTGGGCAAACCTGCAGGTCATGAGCAACAGAGACTCGTACGTATGTCTGTGGTGCAGCATTCTAGGCAGCAGGAACAGCAGAGCCCAGGGCTCTGAGGTGGGAACATGCTTGTTGAAACAGACCAGCAGGCTCGGCGCCTGTGGCTCAAGCGGCTAAGGCGCCAGCCACATACACCTAAGGTGGAGGGTTCAAATCCCCAGCCTGGGCCCGCCAAACAACAATGATGGCTCCAACCAAAATATAGCCAGGCGTTGTGGCGGGCAACTGTGGTCCCAGCTACTTGGGAGGCAGAGGCAGGAGACTCACTTGAGCCCAGGAGTTGGAGGTTGCTGTGAGCTGAGATGCCACGGCACTCTACCCAGGGGGACAGCTTGAGGCTCCTGTCTCAAAAAAAAAAAAAAGAAAAAAAAAAACAGACCAGTAGGCAGAAAGGTGGGGTGGGCAGGGCAGCCAGGGGGAATGGGTGAGGGCAAGAGAAGGTGAGAGGGCAGTGGAGTGAATGGCCAGGACACAAGGGCCATGCACTCAAGGTGGGGCCCTTGAGTGTTAGTTATTCCAAATGTCTGAGGACAGTGAGGGTTGGATAGGGGCAGGACTGATTTTCATTTTTAGTGACAACCCTGCTTGTGAAGGCCAGGGTTGGGGCATCCAGATAGGAGGGGATAGTAGTAAGATGTGGGGGTAACAGCCTTGTGGGGTGATCACCCCACGTGGGGTGGACACTGGGTGAGCCTCACACTCAGAGGTCATGAGGAACCATGACACCACCCCCACTACCTGCCCCCGCACCAAAGGAGCTGACACTCAGTTTGCTGGGAGCACTGGACACTGCCGTCCTTCTCCCAGCTCCCAGACGTGCCGTGTGCTCTCAGCAGAGGCTTCACTGCGGCTGCTCCCTCTGCTGAGAATGCCCTCAGCCCCCCAGCTCCCTGTTTGCCCTGCTGCTCATGCTGCAGCTCCCAGTGTCTAGAAGCCTTCCTAAGTCCCACGTAGGGGGGACTAAGTCCTTCCTAGGAGTCCCTCTTGTGGTTGTGTGTTTAGTGTTTCTTCCCCACCGGACAGCAGCCCAGGTCTGCCTGGTTCATTCACTGAAGCATTGTGAGGCCCTCGTGGTGCCTGGCACGCAATAGGAACACAAAAAGTATTCGCTTACTAAGTGCATGCATGCCTACTGAGCGCCAGGTGCTCCAAGACATTCTAACTCTTTGCAACTGCTCCAGATGATGCCCTGGAGGCTCAGAGAGGATGTGCAACTTGTGCCCGGCTGCGCGAGCAGCCAGCAGGCAAATGGGATCCAAACACGGGAAAGTCCAACCCTGAAGCTGGGCCCTTGCTCCCACACCTCACCACTGCAAAACCATCTGTGAAGGCTGGAAGTCACTCCTTGCCACTTTCAAGGGACAAGCAGATGCATCTTCACATGTGGAAGCTGAAACCGTAGCTTAGTGAGAGAAGAGGCCTGGGGGCATCTCAAAATGAGTCATTACCTTCAAATCTAAAGTCATAATAGCAGACACTTAGCATAGCAGTCACCACATACTAATTGATTTAATCTTCACAGCAATGCTGTGAGGTAGGCACTACCGTTATGCCCACTTTACAGATGAGAAAACTGGGGCCCAGAGAGGTTAGTTAACTGGGTCATAGAGCTGCTGAGAAGCAGAAGCAGGATTTGAATCCAAGGTGTTCAACTAGAACTGTCACATTTCACCCGAGGGCTTGGCCCCCTTGGTTCTTGGATTCTGTCCCTGACTCTCTGTGGATGACAGAGTCTAATATCAGAGTTCAGCCCAGCTGATGGCAAGGCATGTGGTGGAGACAAGTCTGACGCTGTCCCTCTTCTTCCTGACTTGGCTCCTCTTGCCTCAGTTATCTTTCCCACTGTCCTCCACACCCATCTGTGGGGATCCTCATTCTTCAAGGTCCAGCCTTAAAAAAAAAAAAAAAAGTCTAACAATTGGGCAGTGCCAGTGGCTCCAAAGGATAGGGCGCTGGCCCCATATACCAGAGGTGGTGGGTTCAAACCCAGCCCAGGCCAAAAAAAAAAAAAATCTAACAAGGGACAATTCCTCCATTCCCACACTTTCCCCAGTGCCTAATTAATCACTCTTGCTCCAGTCCCCAAAGCTCTGACAGCACAACATGCTAGTTAAAATCATAGGCTTTCACATCAGCCCGAGTGTGGCACTAAACCCGTGTGGCCCTGAAGGTTTTAAGGAAAAAAACAAGATTATGCTAAGTGCCTGGCGCTGGGCTGGGCCTGGAGCAGGGACACTCCCACCTGTTATTTTGACCCTCATTTCTCAAGCCTCCCAAGACCTGTGCTATCATTGCCCACCTGCCCAGTACCCTCCACAGTGCCCGGCACACATTAGAGGCACAGAAGGATTATGGATTTTGGACTTGGAACCCTCAGGCTGCCCCTTTCCGAAGGTGGGACCTCAGACACGTGGTTTGCCTCACTGAAACTCACTTTCTCATCTGTTAATTTTGATGGTGTTGATTGAGCTCATCAGGTCACCACCAGGACTAAGACGTTAAGGCTACTGGGGCACCTAACGTGTGATGCAGGGGCCCAGCTGCCCTTTGTGGTTTTCCCCAGAACACACCTGGGAACACTGGAAGGAGGTGACATGTAACAGTGTTCCTCAAGGGTGAACAAATCTGTCACTCACAGTGCCCTAGCCCCTCTGCTGCACCCTGCTTCCCCAGGGCCAGGCTGCAGGGCCCAGAGGTGGATCTGCTGACCATATGTGGAGCAGCAGCGACCCCGTGTGGCTGAAAGGTGCAGAGCAGCGGCAAGTGTCCTGCTGGTGTCTGTCTGAGGTTCTCCACCCACACACCCTCTACACTGTGGGTGGTTCTCCTTACTGTGCCTACAAAGACCACACTTCGGCCCTGCAGTCTGGTCCCAGATGGTCATCCCAGCCACAGTTTTTTTTTTTTTTTTTTT